TTCTATGTGGCACTGGCGTGCTAAACGTGAGGTGGGTCTCCGCCTGATCCTGCCGACGACGACGGTGCCCCTCCTCAGCCCCCGCTCTTGCCCTTGACTCTCTTGAGTGTGTCAGAGATCCTGGTGGCTGCTGCTTGGGGATCATCTCCAATACCATGGAGAAATGTCTTGGCAAAGACCTTTGTGCCCTTAAGCTCTTCCAAGAGGCCTGCAACGTCCAATTGGCTGCTGGTACGCGTCTGACGGAAGGGACAACCAATCTCCTCATCCAGTTCCTCCAAGTCTTTGTCACGCCATGCTCTGGGTTCTGCTTCGTCTACTGACACTGGCACTGCTGCTGCTGATGCTGCTGGTCCCTCTGCCTTGTGTTCCTAGCTGTCCAAGTCCATGCCTCCTGATGCGGATGCTGCTGCCGAAAACTTTGCGTCGTGCGCCTGTAGGAACTCGTCTTTCTTGAGGTGGGACTCGGTGACTTGTTCCACAAAGACAATTTGTGTTTGAGCTCGGCCGAGGAGTTGAGCCTGTCAGCGACGCAAGCTGCCGCCTCGTCGCGCATCTTGGTGAGGTCCCGCTCCAGCTGATTTGTTTTATCCAATAGTCCCAGCTTGTACGTTGATAGGGACTCAACGAGTAGCTATGTTTTATCAAACTCAGAGTGGGTCTTCCGGAGCTGGTTTTCGTTTTTGCTGATCGTTCGTTCTTGTCGCTGGAGCTGTTTGTTTGGAGGGGGTTGGTCCCACTTGCGGGCTTGGGCTGCTGCGTAGATCTCTCAATTGCTCCGCACGCTCTTGTGGTAAATCGTTACGTTTGCTTCTTGCATGCTGCACCACGTGGTGCAGACTGTGGGGGGTGGGTCTGTTACGAACTGCTGCTGCTTCTGCTGCCGCACCTCCTCGATCTTCACCTCCTCCTCCTACGCCTCTGACTCCGCCACTTCGAACTCTGTTGCCCATGCCGCCCTGTCCTCCTCCTTTTCCTGTGTTTTTTTTGGGGGGGGATGATTTCATTGGATTCCTTGCCACTGCCCGTCCACTCCGCCCTGGTAGCCCTTGATCGACTGGCGGTTGAAGTTGAAGGCGGAATAATTTGCCTGTCCTTTCCCTGGCGGCGGCGGGATCCAGGCTGAAGGGAGAGGAATGAAAAGTTGAAGGTTTGCAGGGAGCCACGTTTCCGCAATGGTAGCATCTTTTTGCCAAAAGGGAACTCCACATGTTGCCGCACGAGGCACAAACCATTGCATGGGGAGACTTGGGGCCATCGCGTGGCATCCAAGAAAACGGACGGGGCTGGTGGGGCCAGTGCTCTGGCAGTGCGGTTGGATTGTGGGGTGTGCGATTCCCCTGGGGAAGACAATGCGTCCAGGCGCCCCCTTGGGATGTGGGGGTCCCACAACGGCGCTACCTTGAGCCAAAATGGTTTGAGCCAAAATTGCTACGGATCCAGTGTCCTCCTCCTCCTCCTCCTCCTCCTCCTCCTCCTCCTCCTCCTCCTCCTCCTCCTCCTCCTCCCCCAATATGACCTCTGGTCCTCCTTCCGGCTTTCGGGCCGTGGCTCGGGCCTCTGGTGGCCGTTCGAGACGATCTGGGCACCTCCGGAATGCCTCTCGGCGAAGCGCAAGTGCTGGAACGCATCCCGAAGCTGGAAAACCTCCGGGGGACGACGAAAACGCACGAAGACCTTCAACTTCGAAAGCGGGGGCGCACGAACCCGTGTCGGCCAGGGCCATGTCGCGAAACCCGGCCAAACGCTTGGTAGCTCCCGGCGCTGTGTCAGCGGAGGGCGGACAGGCGGAATCGGCCCCGCGTGGCTCCCAGACTCAGGTCAGCCAGAGGGGGTTGGCTGACCCCCGTCAGCGGTGACTCCCGTTATCCGTGTGGCCCGGGAAATTCGAATGGCCTCTCCAGGCCGTGAACACCCAAAATCGAATCGATAAGTCGGATCGGCGATCGGGATGAATCGGATTGGCGGAAATGGGCAGCCAAGCGCGGAAAAGTCGAACCGGTGTAAGTCGGCAGGCTCATAAAAAGGACCCAGCCGAAGAATCGCAACCCAAATCGGAATATGTCAGAATCAATCGACATCGAATCTCGGATGGAGCCGAATCGGCGGAGCTGGAATATCGCCACTCCAAGGCCTGGTCGGGCAGGGCAGGAGGAGGAGCAGGACGACGACGTCGAGAGGAGGGATGGGGAGGGAGGAGGACGGGGAGGAGGAGAATCAGATCGGAAGGGTCCGCGAAAGGAGAGGAGGACGACGATGACGACTAGGAAGGATGAGAAAGGAGGAGGATGGGGAGGAGGAGGAGGATCGGATCCACAGGGGAGCTGCTGGAGAAGGAGCGAGCGTCCCAAGGTGAGCAGTCCCTCCGCGCCTATGGCCGCGCCTGCGCCGAGCTTCCCAGGCCCGCGTTGATGGTGTCCAGGCATCAGGTAGACGGTGGAGCCGTCGAGACCACCGAGGCAGTCGGAAGCGCCGTCGAAGGAGCCCCCGGCGAGCGCGAAGGGGTGGCCGTCCTCGCGGGCGGCAGCGTCATAGCACGAGCCGTGCGCGTCGAGCGCGGACGGCTTGGAACCGAAGGACTCGGCGAAAGCGCCGAAGATCGAGCTAGCGTCGACGGCCAACGCCAGGAGGTCGACATAAACGGAGAGAGCCTTGCTGCAGCAGCGAAGCCGCATTATATCGCCATATCGAAACAGTGGGGCTCCTAGCACCACAAGCCCCCTAAGGGGTACAGCGAAGGCTTCATCAAGTTCAAGTTGCTCATTGCTCATCACCAGCACCACTGGCAACACGCGGAACCCAACGACGAGCCTCCTTCTTCGGCTTCTTCTCCTTCTTTGTCCGCTTTCCCCTCTTTACGCTGTAGGTCGAGCCGCGCGCACTCGCCCCCTTGTCCTCGGTGCCCTTCGCGCATTCTTTTCTAGCGCCAACTTCTTCGGATCGGCCAAAGGACAGTCGCGAACGGCATCCTCTTGTAGAGCGCCGCGAGACACAGCAGCGGCAAGACCTGCAGCAGCTCCGTCGACAGGATGCCGAAGCTCAGCAGGAGGCCGAGGTACGGGGAATCCGCCAGCAGCCTCGCCCGGTGGAGAAAAAATCTCAGGGAGAGCGGGATCAGCAGCGGCAGGGCCCGAAGCAGCGCCACTGACATGTCGCAGAAGCCCTGCAGGAGGCTGAAATACAATGAATACGCCATCATCAGCGTCGTCAAGTGGCGGCAGAAGCGCAGGGCGAGCGCGCGCAGCAACGTCAGGGCCCTCAGCAGCGCCATCGGCAACTCTACCAACCAGGGCGAGTACCTCAGGAGCAGTGCGGCCAGCAGCCCATGCCAGCCAGAGCGCCATGGTCATCGGCTGAGCGTCGGCACTCGCAGGATGGAGGCGCGCGTGTTCAGCAGCGCCTCGTCTGAGAGCTCCGTCAGGTGGGAGTTGCAGCAGTTGTCGCCGAGAGCACCGGGCCCACAGGTAGGACCTCCAGGCAATAGAAAAAGCACGCGGCACGAGCACGGGGCCAATGGATTAGGGTAGGGTCGGCACCAGCAGCAGGCAGCTTGGCGCCAGCGCCCTGTAGAAGAGCACTGCCAACCGCAGGGCCTGTAGGATCGCCATCGCCTTCGGAGGGATCCGCGCGAACGGCGCGCAGAGCCGTATAACTCGACAGTCCTCACCTGCGCCAGCAGCATCGTCGCCACGAAGACCCAGCCGAGGGTCACGATCCAGAGCATGTTCCCGAACACGATCCTCGAACACGCCGAACTCTGTCTCGAAGTCTATGTCCAGCAGGAAGAGGTCAACGTCCAGAGGCACCTCAGACGCCGTGGTGTAGTCCATGGAGCAGACGGCGTGCGGGGCGGAGCCGGTGCTGGTGTAGCTGGTGGAGTAGTCATCGGCGACAGCACGACCAGCTCGTACTTCGAACAGCGCCAGCTCAACCTCGAAATCGGTGTCCTGCACAAAGGGGTCAGCGGAGCCCCTTAACAGCAAAATCACCATGCACATGAACATCAGCTCGAACATCTTGCCACATGGAGCAGTCGGCGCGCAAAGCGTGGAGGGCGTTGGTGTAGTCCGAGGTGCAGCTGATGAAACCGATGGCGCACGGGTCCACCTTGTAGAAGACGCAGAGCTTGGCCATCATGAGGATGAGCTCATTCATCGCGTTCGTGAGCTTAGCAATGCACGGAATGAGGTCGATCGAGTTCGGCTCCTACACGGCTTGCGATGAGGGGTCGGCGGTGAGTGCCGTCGCATCGGCGCGAGCCTGGACTCCCGCACTAGGTGGGGCTCGGTCGTACACTACATCGTCATCGTCGCAGTCGGCAAGTACATCAAACCGAGGCGGTCAAGAACCAGCCGAATGGTCCCGACCTCCAGCGCGGTCCCGAAGTCCAGCATGGTCCCGAGTTCCATGACGATCACGGTCTCCAGCGCGGTCCCGATGTCCCCCGTGTTCTCGGCTTCCAGCAGGTAGCGTCGCAGCATGCGCAAGTGGGCCTTGTAGAGCTATGGGCCCGTGTTTGGCGGCGTCCGCCAGCTCCAACGTCGTTCGAGCAGCGGCATGGGCGGCAGGCGAGAGCGTCCCTCGGCGAAGAGCTCAGTGCGCAACCGCTTTACCAGAAGCGGCAGGGGGCATCCGGTGCGCGATCTCATCCTCGTCAAGCAAACGGTGGAAGGCCTTGCCGCGGGCCATGCGCTTCGCCTCAAGATGTCGACCAAGTCCACTTCGACGAGTGTCTTCCCACGAACACGATGGTAAGTAGTACACCAAGCGTCCCGCTCGCGGCGGCGTCGTTGTGCGGCGCAGAGCGAGGCTCCAGCCGCCGAGGCGGCCACTAAGGATCGGCAGCTCGGCATAGAAGTACTGCGCAAAGCAGCCAGCAGGAGCCACTGGCAGGCTCGGTACCTCTTGAGCCCAAATGGCTAGTTACGGGGGAGGAGGAAGAGGAGGAGGAGGAGGAGGAGGAGGAGGAGGAGGAGGAGGAGGAGGAGGAGGAGGGTCTCCTGCTCCATGGCCGCCGCGCTGCGCCCCCGCGGCCGCGCCCCGGGGCAGCGGTCGCGCAGCGCACCGCGCGCAAGCGCCCCTGCGCCGCCCTCCCGCGGGCGGCGGTGAAGGGCGCGCGCCGGGCCGCTCGAGCCCTGGGCGGACGCGGCGCGCTCGAGCCCTGGGCGGCCGCGGCGGAGTATCGGCAGTGGAGCCCAGAATCGAGTCGATGCGTCGGATCGGCGATCGAGATGAATCGGATCGGCGGAAAATCGGCAGCCAAGTCGGGAGAAGTCGAATCGGCGAAAATCGGCAGGCTAGTAAGGCCTCAGTTGAGCAACCGAAGCCCAAATCGTAATCCGAGGTCAAATCGATTCGGAATCGAAATCGACCGGCTGGCGGTTAGTGCCTCCATCTTGGAAAGGTTACGGTCGGGAGCTTTTGCCTAGCGTGTCGCGGCGGCGGCCCCAGCGACACGCTTTGCCCTGCGAGCTGATGGCGTGTCGCTCCGCTCCGTGCGGCGGGAGGCTCGGGAGAAGCTTGGGACGTTGACCCCTGGGGGCCGGGACCTGGTTTGCCCTGTCGCGCCGAAGCGTGGTGGGCCAGAACTGGCGGCGCGCGACAACCAAAAGTTCCCGACCGTCAGCCTCCAACATCCCGAGTCTGGACGCTGAGCCAGAAGCCCCCGACCGCAAACCTATGGTTACAGTCGGGGCGCTGACCCAAGGAGCCCTAAATGACGAACAAGGCACCTGCTGCCCACAGGTGAAACTTCGAAAACCTGAGGGAAACCTGAGGCAAGCTGCACAAATAATTAGGGAACGCGGAGCCCCTCCACAACGAAATGGTTAATCCCACCAGCCCTTTGGGCGTGAGTGGTTTAGCGAGCTCTCTCTGTTCTCCACCCCCCTACCCCTTCTTCCCCTTCGGGGAGGGGTTTATCCCTCCCCCTACCCTCTCCCCCTGGGCCTGGAGAGGGAGTCCGGCGGGTCGTCAAGGGGGTCAATTCCGACTCCAGGGAGGGCTAAATTATCCCGGCAAAGCAACCTAACAGCGATGTGTAGGAGCATATCTGGAAGCATTCCCCTTAAGATTCAGATAAGAATTCTGTTGTAGAATTCTGCTGTTCTCGCAGTCGTGGTGGCATTCGCGATGGCAGTCGCAGTGGCAACAGCAGTCGCAGTCACAGCCTCAGCCTCAGCCTGCCTCAGCCTCAGCCTCAGCCTGCCTCAGCCTCAGCCTGCCTCAGCCTCGCCCTCAGCCTGCTTCAGCCTCAACATCAGTCTGCCTTCAGCCTCGGCCTCAGCCTGCCTCAGCCTCACCCTCAGCCTGCATCAGCCTCAGCCTGCCTCAGCCTCGCCCTCAGCCTGCTTCAGCCTCAACATCAGTCTGCCTTCAGCCTCGGCCTCAGCCTGCCTCAGCCTCACCCTGCATCAGCCTCAGCCTCAGCCTCAGCCTGCCTCAGCATCAGCCTGCCTCAGCCTCAGCCTCAGCCTGCCTCTGCCTCAGCCTCAGCCTGCTTCAGCCTCAGCCTCAGTCTGCCTCGGCCTCGGCCTCAGCCTCAGCCTGCCTCAGCCTCAGCCTCAGCCTGCATCAGCCTCAGCCTCAGCCTGCCTCAGCATCAGCCTCAGCCTCAGCCTCAGCCTGCCTCAGCCTCAGCCTGCCTCAGCCTCAGCCTGCATCAGCCTCCTCAGCCTCAGCCTGCCTCAGCCTGCCTCAGCCTCAGCCTCAGCCTGCCTCAGCCTCAGCCTCAGCCTGCCTCAGCCTCAGCCTCAGCCTCAGCCTCAGTCTGCCTTCAGCCTCGGCCTCAGCCTCAGCCTGCCTCAGCCTCAGCCTGCATCAGCCTCAGCCTCAGCCTCAGCCTCAGCCTCAGCATCAGCCTGCCTCAGCCTCAGCCTCAGCCTGCCTCAGCCTCAGCCTCAGCCTGCTTCAGCCTCAGCATCAGTCTGCCTTCAGCCTCGGCCTCAGCCTCCGCCTGCCTCAGCCTCAGCCTCAGCCTCAGCCTCAGCCTCAGCCTGCCTCAGCCTCAGCCTGCCTCAGCCTCAGCCTCAGCCTGCCTCAGCCTCAGCCTCAGCCTCAGCCTGCTTCAGCCTCAGCCTCAGTCTGCCTTCAGCCTCGGCCTCAGCCTCAGCCTGCCTCAGCCTCAGCCTGCATCAGCCTCAGCCTCAGCCTCAGCCTGCCTCAGCATCAGCCTGCCTCAGCCTCAGCCTCAGCCTGCCTCAGCCTCAGCCTCAGCCTGCTTCAGCCTCAGCCTCAGTCTGCCTTCAGCCTCGGCCTCAGCCTCAGCCTGCCTCAGCCTCAGCCTGCATCAGCCTCAGCCTCAGCCTCAGCCTGCCTCAGCATCAGCCTGCCTCAGCCTCAGCCTCAGCCTGCCTCAGCCTCAGCCTCAGCCTGCTTCAGCCTCAGCCTCAGTCTGCCTTCAGCCTCGGCCTCAGCCTCAGCCTGCCTCAGCCTCAGCCTGCATCAGCCTCAGCCTCAGCCTCAGCCTGCCTCAGCATCAGCCTGCCTCAGCCTCAGCCTCAGCCTGCCTCAGCCTCAGCCTCAGCCTGCTTCAGCCTCCGCCTCAGTCTGCCTTCAGCCTCGGCCTCAGCTCAGCCTGCCTCAGCCTCAGCCTGCCTCAGCCTCAGCATCAGCCTGCCTCAGCATTCAAAATGTGGCCCGGGAATGGAGTTCTGGGAACTCGAAGAACACGAAGTGGCCTACAGTTGGCTCCGGGCATTCAAAATCATGCCCAGGAATGGAGTTCTGGGAACTCGAAGACCACGAAGTGGCCTACAGTTGGCTCCGGGCATTCAAAATCTGGCCCGGGAATGGAGTTCTGGGAACTCGAAGACACGAAGTGGCCTACAGTTGGCTCCGGGCATTCAAAATCATGGCCCGGGAATGGAGTTCTGGGAACTCGAAGAGCACGAAGTGGCCTACAGTTGGCTCCGGGCATTCAGAATGTGGCCCGGGAATGGAGTTCTGGGAGGTCGAAGAATGGAAATCGAAAGCACGAAGTGTGTGACTGTATGCGAAAAACGATCCCCCCCGGCAAACCCCAACGGCCCCCCAACGGCCCCCAACGGCTCCCCAACGGCTGCCCAGACCCCCCTGTGGAGTAATGTTGGAGTAATGTGCTGCTCTCTTTTTACCATTAGAAACCTATCAGTCTTCGATGTTAGGTAAATTATCCCGGCAAAGCAACCTAACAGCGATGTGTAGGAGCATATCTGGAAGCATTCCCCTTAAGATTCAGATAAGAATCCTGTTGTAGAATTCTGCTGTTCTCGCAGTCGTGGTCGCATTCGCGATGGCAGTCGCAGTGGCAACAGCAGTCGCAGTCACAGCCTCAGCCTCAGCCTGCCTCAGCCTCAGCCTCAGCCTGCCTCAGCCTCAGCCTGCCTCAGCCTCGCCCTCAGCCTGCTTCAGCCTCAACCTCAGTCTGCCTTCAGCCTCGGCCTCAGCCTGCCTCAGCCTCACCCTCAGCCTGCATCAGCCTCAGCCTGCCTCAGCCTCACCCTCAGCCTGCTTCAGCCTCAACATCAGTCTGCCTTCAGCCTCGGCCTCAGCCTGCCTCAGCCTCACCCTGCATCAGCCTCAGCCTCAGCCTGCCTCAGCATCAGCCTGCCTCAGCCTCAGCCTCAGCCTGCCTGCCTCAGCCTCAGCCTCAGCCTGCTTCAGCCTCAGCCTCAGTCTGCCGTCGGCCTCGGCCTCAGCCTCAGCCTGCCTCAGCCTCAGCCTGCATCAGCCTCAGCCTCAGCCACAGCCTGCCTCAGCATCAGCCTGCCTCAGCCTCAGCCTCAGCCTCAGCCTGCCTCAGCCTCAGCATCAGCCTGCTTCAGCCTCAGCCTGAGTTTGCCTGCAGCCTCGGCCTCAGCCTCAGCCTGCCTCAGCCTCAGCCTGCCTCAGCCTCAGCCTCAGCCTCAGCCTGCCTCAGCCTCAACCTGCCTCAGCCTCAGCCTCGCTCAGCCTGCCTCAGCCTCAGCCTCAGCCTGCTTCAGCCTCATCAGCCTCAGCTCTCAGCCTTCAGCCTCGGCCTCAGCCTCAGCTGCGTCGCCTCGAGCATCGGTCTGCCTCAGCCTCGGCCTCAGCCTCCGCTGCCTCAGCCTCAGCCTGCCTCAGCCTCAGCCTGCATCAGCCTCAGCCTCAGCCTGCCTCACCCTCAGCCTCAGACTCAGCCTCAGCCTCAGCCTCAGCCTGCTTCAGCCTCAGCCTCAGTCTGCCTTCAGCCTCGGCCTCAGCCTCAGCCTGCCGCAGCCTCAGCCTGCATCAGCCTCAGCCTCAGCCTCAGCCTTCCTCAGCATCAGCCTGCCTCAGCCTCAGCCTCAGCCTGCCTCAGCCTCAGCCTCAGCCTGCTTCAGCCTCAGCCTCAGTCTGCCTTCAGCCTCGGCCTCAGCCTCAGCCTGCCTCAGACTCAGCCTGCATCAGCCTCAGCCTCAGCCTCAGCCTGCCTCAGCATCAGCCTGCCTCAGCCTCAGCCTGCCTCTGCCTCAGCCTCAGCCTGCTTCAGCCTCAGCCTCAGTCTGCCTTCAGCCTCGGCCTCAGCCTCAGCCTGCCTCAGCCTCAGCCTGCATCAGCCTCAGCCTCAGCCTCAGCCTGCCTCAGCATCAGCCTGCCTCAGCCTCAGCCTCAGCCTGCCTCAGCCTCAGCCTCAGGCTGCTTCAGCCTCAGCCTCAGTCTGCCTTCAGCCTCGTCCTCAGCTTCAGTCTGCCTTCAGCCTCAGCCTGCCTCAGCCTCAGCATCAGCCTGCCTCAGCATTCAAAGTGTGGCCCGGGAATGGAGTTCTAGGAACTCGAAGAACACGAAATGGCCTACAGTTGGCTCCGGGCATTCAAAATCATGCCCAGGAATGGAGTTCTGGGAACTCGAACACCACGAAGTGGCCTACAGTTGGCTCCGGGCATTCAAAATCATGCCCAGGAATGGAGTTCTGGGAACTCGAAGACCACGAAGTGGCCTACAGTTGGCTCCGGGCATTCAAAATCATACCCAGGAATGGAGTTCTGGGAACTCGAACACCACGAAGTGGCCTACAGTTGGCTCCGGGCATTCAGAATGTGGCCCGGGAATGGAGTTCTGGGAGGTCGAA